GGTCAGAAACCTGCACGCGTGAGACCTCTATCCTCGACCATCTCCGCGACTTGGCCTTCCTAAATAGGCAGGCAAAGTCGAGGGCAGCCTCAGAGGCAGTCCGCGCGCTCCCCGCGGACGCGCTAGTACGCATACAGTAGTCACCACAGTCTCGCCTAGAGAAGTTTCTGCACGGCGGACAGCGAAAACCGCACGACTGGTAGCGCAGCTGGTGCCACTCGCAGCGCATCCGCTTCACCTCTCTTTCTCCCGTCCGACGCGAAGTTTTAAGTTCGACTTGCAGTTGTACCCCTGCTCTGGAACGCTCGACACCCGGGGCACGGCTCCGAACAGGTCATGAAAGGCGAGACTGCGATCGATCGACTCCCGCCTCTTGCGAATTTCGGCCAACGTAGACACGATGATGATCAGTCGCGCTTCGAATTTGTTTGCCATCGTGAGGACCCTCAGGCCGCTGTAGCCGGCCGGAAACATGAGAGCGGGGCGACAAGATAGGGGCTCCTGTACAAGCCAGAAGCTACACGCGCACTATCAGCTGCCTGTGGCGCGTGAGGCATGGGAACCGAAGAGCGTGCCCACGATTCCGCCTGGCAGTCAGCGACTACTCGACCGCAGGGAAAGTGTCCACCAAAATACCTGAGCGTGCTCCGCAACTTTTGCACACACTAAAAAGCCTTCAAAAGGTCTGAAGGTCCGTGAGTGCGCCAGACCAGAGAAATTCTCCGCAACAAGTTTCGCAGCATCTGCTCGCTCTGCGAAGTGAGGTGATGATGAAAAGATGAATGCTCATCCGACTCACGACTCTTGACTCTGACTGCACCCTTGTCGGCACTCTGTCGTGCCGGACCAACTCGTGACTGCGTGCATTAGCGACGTTGTAAATCGACCGTCTGTCTGTCGCTCTGTGTGCCTGCCTACATCTGCATGCATGCGCTTGTGTGAATTGAAGCATGCGATCAGCACAGTGGCGATCTTCTTGTCAGGGGCTACGCTTCCCGGCCTGTGCAGCTCGAGCTCCAGTTTGTGGGCACTTTTCTCGCACGTGTTTAGTCCGGGGATGTCCATTCGCGATGCAGTTTGGTTTCTTTCTCGTCTTTCAAGTCAAAGTCAAGGTCAGCGGACTAAAGCGTAGCCCTCGGCTGGGAATTTCGCGGCGATACACAGAGTCAGATGGTGGAATGAATCACTGTATGCATGACCATCCCTTCTGTCAAGATGTTCTTCCTGGCTTTTCCTTATTCGATCTTGGGAGTCAGCCGCTGCAACAAGGCATTGCCCAGGTAATCGCGAGAAGCACCGAGGCACCGGATCTGCCTTTAGCGGTTGCGAATAGGACGCCGGTGCGGATGTCGGTGAAGCTTTGGACCAAGGCAAGTGGTCAATGTCACGTTTTACTGCGTTATGGCGCCTCTGCGATGTTCAGCAAGCAGACATTCACATTCACAATTGTGTCAAGACCGGCAGGGAAAGAAAAATGAGGAGATCACGCCCGCGACTCCACCTTCGCTCGTCTGCTGATCAGTCCGTCTGGCCTACCGGTACCGGTCACACAACACTAGCGTCTTCTGCACGGGTACGCTACCTCTTCTGAAGCGCAGGCACGATCAGGAGACGTCGAGAACGTGATCTGGACCAAGACATGCCATGCCGCACGCACACGTCGCTAAGCTTTTCATCTGAGCAGCTCGAAAATTAGCGGCGCGCATTTGTGACATGCCCCTCTCGAACATTCTTTGAAACGGTAGGAGTCTTGGGTCGTCATGGAGGAGACTCTTGACTCTCACTCAATGACTCGCAGCTCGCTTCTCTTGTTGTGACGTTCATGCTTGATCTCTCCGATTCTTGTTTGAACATGCCATCATCGAGCCACAGCTTGGCGCCAGCTCGCTGCGTGGGGACAACGGACTCCGAAGCGCCGACACCGCGCAGCGTTCCTACGTGAAAGGTCCTGTTCTAGCACTTACATTTGCGAGTCACAGCACGCTTGAAGCGCAAGCTCGGTGCTGCCGATGCTGCTTGTTGGTGCTCAATTGTGCGAGTGTTCCTTGCTTCGGCGCATAGCCGCAGGCGGAGCCGAAGACAAGCTGAGCAAGGGCACGGATGTGGATTCGAATCATGATCGAGCTACGCGGAATGAACTTCTGCTGACCGCGCGGTCGGATCTGCATACGTGAGACATGGTGTGGGAAGTCGAGCAGCATGCATCCGTCTCTCTTCATTGAGCCTCGCGGCGCAATGAGCCCTTTCTTCCAACGCCATGCCAGCCGCGAGGCGACGCATATGGCTCTGAGACATTCCTGATCATTCACCATCACTTAACATGGCTCGGCGTTCCCCGCCCCTTGTCGCGTGACTCAAGTCCACGGGGATCCGGATTCATGAAAGATTCACGATTGCCGTGCAGACAAAGGTCTGCATGCCTTTCGGCACCCACAGTCACGATAGATTTCAAGCAAGTGGCACCCTCGGACGGATGAGGCGTGGTGAGCCTTTGGTCGATCGTCGACTCAACTGATTTCGGCGCTGCAGATCGCCAGATAAACCCAGGAAAATTCTCGAGCACACTGTCACAAGGAGACACGCGCAGACATCGAGTCGTCACAAAGACGAGTGGAGTCTGAGCAGAGCGGCTAATGCGCAAGTACATT